CCGTTTAGCGCATACTTTCAGGAGAAGATGGCGCTAGGGAATAGGTTGGGTTTTATGGAGTCCGATCTACTGGCTTATATGATAGACGGCTTCGACAACCCGCCACTCCAGGCTCAAGCCAAGATGAGCCAATTTAAGGATTTAGCAACTCTGTTAGGTGTAATGAACGAGTTGACAGCGGAGGAACGAGGATGCAATATGATGCTGCCTACGAGGGTACAGCCAACAGTGTTGCCTAGAGTGGAAACACAAGGCACATATCCTACGGTGAGGTGCTTTAATTGTGGCGGAGTGGGACATATGGCGTCCAGGTGTATCAAACCGAAGAACGATGGAGTGGCGTGCTACGACTGTGGCTCAAAGGAGCATCAGCAGAGATTCTGCAAAAATGTCCGGAGTACGGCGCAGGTGGCGCCTGACAGCACTACATTTCGAGTTAACGAAGTATTGGCGATTGATGGTGAGATTACCACAGACGGAGCAAATATAAATATACCAGATGAAAATGACTACGAAGTGGTAGCGGCAATAGAAGACCTGGAGAGTGAAAAACCGGAGGAACCAGAGACTGCATTCGAAATGCATGACTATGGAGTGATAGCGACAGCAGGAGATCTGGTAGAAAAGGAATATTTGGAGAGTGAAAAGCCGGAAGAAACAGAGACTGCATTCGAAATGCATGGCTATGGAGCGATAGCGACAGCAGAAGATTTGGAGACTGAAAAACGGAAGAGCCAGAGACTGCATTTGAAATGCATGGCTATGGAGTGGTCGCGACAGTAGGAGATCTGGTCAGAGAGGAATATTTGGAGACTGAAAAACGGGTGGTGCGCGATCCTTACCCCAGTCCAAGAATAGATGATTGCTTGGACTCACCGAAGTCTAAGAGGTATTTTACGAAGCTAGATTTGGAGAACGCTTTCTTTCATGTGGTGGTGGCTGAGACTAGTAGAAAATACACTAGCTTGGGGTGTGCACAGGGAGAATATGAATACAACCGTATGCCATTTGGGTATTGTAATAGCCCGAATGTATCTATGAGATATGTAAGTGACATTTTTCGTTGTTTTGTGATGAACTGTGAAGTTATAGTGTACATGAACGATTTACTAATGGCCACAGAAACAATTGAGGAGAATATTGAAGTGTTGCGTAGGGTGTTAGAGATGATTCGTAGAAATAAGCTAGAACTAAAATTAAATAAGTGTATAAAAATAAATAGGCGTATAAGGACAATAATGGCGACAAAGTTGGTAGAGACAATAAGTGAATGAAATATGATTTATGTTGTAATGGTTTATGATTTATGTTGTAATGTTTATGATTATGTTGTAATGGTTTTATGATTTGTGTTGTAATATTAGATTTAGATTACTGTTGTATTAGATCTCATCAGTCGGGGACGCCTGTGAGGTCAGGATTGGCCGAACTATAATATTGTATGTCTGTCATTTGAATATAACGGCCAAGAGTGTCTATCCTGACGTGTATGTGCTCTATGGTGTGTCATATGTAGAGTGTCTGATCCCTTACGGAACAGAAGTATGTATCTGTGTGCGAGTCGGAGTCTGGCGGTAACTTGGGTGTTGAACAGTTCGGCGTTGTGTTAATTTGGTGAATTATTAAATGTGTTGTATGAAGTAAAAGGTGTTTTATTAATTAATTAATGCTAGAATAAAGCTAGCTTAAAATATATATATAATAGTTGACCGGCAAACGTCGTTTTGCTAAGTAAGGTATATTCTAAACAATTTCTAGAGAATCAAAAAAATTAATACTTTAAGTGTATAAGGATGTGTTGTTTGAATGCTATATACAATGAGGTATTATAAAAACAATAAACCTCATTAGTTTGTCTATATTTTGTCAATACAATCAAACTGAAAGTATTATACACTTTCTATAGAAAACATGGTATAATCCAATCAAGTCTTCTTTGGTCTTTCGACTTATTGATTATGTTTCAAGTTTTTCAGATTTTTTTGGATTCTGGATTTTGTGTATGTAAATAATACCGTAGAGAGATAGAAAATGAATTAAGTATTTCTTCTTTGACCTGCTTTTTGAAAAGTTTCAAGTAACGTTTGATGAATTAAAGTAAATTTAATGAAAAGTATATATGTAGAGCAGGGCGAGGCACAAAGGTCCAATTTGACTTTGAGCAAATATAAAATATAATGAAAATTATGAAAAAGATACACATAGAGTTAACTTATAATTATTTTAATAACGTATCATAAAATACATTCACCATTGTTTTAAATTTACGAAACACGTGTGACGTAAATGCTACATTAGTAATTTTTCTTGATACTACTTTTGTGCTTCATTACTGGGTTAGGTACTTGTCAAAAACAACCAAAATCTTTTATAACGTTATTAAACCAATTTGTTAAATGTGTTCCACACTTAGTTATCTAATTTTCTATTTATTGATACTGATTCTTTTTTTTCCAGGTCAGTTTGATATGAAAAAACAAAACGTCATCGAATCTTCTCCACAGCAAGAAGCAACAGTTGGTATTAGCTACACAATTGTTAAGATGATTTTAAAAATCGATGATGTCAGGTCACCTGCTGACCAATAATTGATACAAGTCTTATAGCAACCAAAATCAATGACACTTATTATTACAAATTGCATTTGAATTTTTGAACACCAATCATTTTAGCTTTTGGCAAAATTATTGTTTGCTTTTGTTTCATCGGTTATTTGTTTTCATAGTATTATTTATTAAGATAGTGATGTTTCATATTCTCAAATAAAAATACATTTATAGTTACTAAATGCGTTGACTTTTACTACAGTTTGTAAGAACTGTATGGAATTATTCGTAAACTGTGGACTCGGTTAGTTTAAGTTTTTTTTATAGAAAGAGAAGGTTTTGCTAGAAAATTTTATTTGATAATTTTTTATTTTTTTGAATCTAAGTTATTTGTTAACTACCTGTTGGGTATATTTATCACAAAAAAATTAAAAATAAAATTTTTGCAAATCCTTATATTTCTGAATATTTTTATATATGTATGCATGTTTAGTTACAATTTTTTGATCACGATGTGTATAGCACGGATCAACTGATTTGAATGATTTAAAAAACATTTGATTCCTATTAATGGACGTGCTGATTAGTTTTAGTAAAGGCACGGCCAGTCGTTACGAAGATACCGAACAAAAAGCGCCAAAAATGGCAATTCCGTTTTTAAGAGAACTGAGCA